GGTTGGGGGGGTGGTCAAACAACAAACTAGTGGGGGGGGGGGGCAGAGTCTCTTATGGTTGTTGAAAACTAACTGCAGAAAGGACAGTCCTAGGTTCTGATTCTTGATCTGAAGTGATTCTTGAATGCCACGAAGGAGAAGGCAGGTAAGTCAACAAGGAGCCCAAGGTAGGAGGTTGAGGACATACTGCTGTTTTATTTCAAAGCAGTTAGTATCCATTAGCTATTTTATAATGTCTCCCACTTACTCCTGTGCTGATAAGAGTAACAGTTGGCCTCACTGTCCTTTCTCTGTGACAAGCTTGGAGATACTGTAATCTGTTCATTCACAACACCTAGAGGAAGGGATCATACGGAGACCTTGCTGACTGGTGTCTGCATCTGTACTAGCATAGCATGACCCTCTGGCCCTTTTTCATTGTGTCTGTGTCAGGTTCCTGATTCCAGCAGCCTGGAACTTGGCTGCACTTCACATACTTGCATCGTGGCTGGGATGCTGATTCATCATTGCAGATGAACAGGTCTTTCAGATTTGAATGATGTTTGTGTCATCTACCAAAGGGGAGTCTCATAGCACAATTGTTAGCGAGGGATGTGAAGGACTAGCCAACTAGTCAACTATCCGATAAACAAATGCTTATCAGATAGCCTTTCAACTAGTCGCTTCCCCCCGCCCCTTGCTGCCTCTATCAGAGCAAGAGGGGGGGGGGAAGGTGGAGGGGGTACTTCAAAGTGGCAGCGCCACGTGGACCCCAGGATCAGCTGGGGACTCCCCTGCTGACTGTGGGCTCTGTGCGACACTGCCACTTTGAAATGCCGCAAGGAGCCTGATTTTGTTTCAAAGTGGCAGCACCTCACGGAGCCTAGGGTCAGCAGAGGAGTCCCCAGCTTATCCTGGTCTCCCGGCAGCATTTCAAAGCGGCAGCAGCTCACAGAGCCCAGGTCAGCAGGGGAGTCCCCAGCTGATCCCAGGCTCCACACTGCGCTGCCACTTCTGAAATGCCACAAGGAGCCTGATGCCGGGCTCCCCATGACGTTTCAAAGCGGCAGTGCCGCACGGAGCCCGGAGTCAACGGGGGAGTCCCCAGCTGACCCCAGGCTCTGCAGCAACAGCCCTAGGGCTGTTGCTACACTTCAGAAGTGGAGACGCTCTATCAACTAATCGAATAGTTGATGCATTTTGCATCAACTATTCGATTAGTCAGTTACTCACTATTTAACATCCCTATTGTTAGCGGTGCATTTGTCAGGTCACTAAATTTGACTGGTATTGGTTAATGTTTTAGTGTGTTTACACATACTCGTCTCTTTCAACAGAATCCCTTATGGTCGTCATCTGCTTCCTTCTCATCTCTGTGAAGATCTGGATGTAGCTAAAACATGTCAGTGTGGAAGTGCCTGTCTAAGCTGCTTCATTCAGACAACAGTGACGATGAATCTCCATCATGTAGCTCATACTGTGGTCCTTGTCGATAACATGGGAGGTACAGAGGCTCCCATTGTCTGTTACTTTTGCTCTCTCACTTGTTATTCCCAGTTTCTAGATAGATATCTGCAGAGTAATAGGTGACCTTAAGGGACAGTGAAGGCACTGTTGTGGGAAGTTTCATCCAGTGATGGAGGACTTGGAAATCAAATATTGCTTAGCTGTCCTTGACTGCTATTATGAAATGGAAACGAACCATTGAGTGTGCACTACAAATAGTTAATGTCAGACTTACAAAGCCTTCTCACTGTAAACCTGATGTGATCTGTCTATGCTAAAGTATCTTTCACTTCAGTGCAGAGATTTCAACTTGAATCTTCTTAATAAGAATGTATTTTAGCTTGCTTATATTGCTGTAACTTTGTCCGAACCATCACTGTTTTTTCTCTTTATGCTTTTTTATGGATTAGGTTACCTCTCCTTGCCAGAAGGAGGGAGTCGGGTGAATTTCTGCTTGTTTCTATTGCTAATCATGTACACCTTCCCTTGCTTGATGCTCTGAACTCAATCAACTAGGGAGGACTAGCCTTTTTTCCTAGTTCACAGTGCAGTGCCTTTCCTGCTGGAGAGCAGGAACTCTGACTAATTCACTAGGTTGTTTATCATGGAGCAGGAAAGTATTCTACTGTCCAAGAGATTACATTGTAAGACTAGTTCTTAAACGCTCTTCAGGTATTTTTGGTTCCATAAACAATGCCACATGTAGGGTGCTCACCTCAATCAGGATACAGTATTAGCCTTTTTTTATCAGAACAAATATTTGTGTGTTTTTATAACTGTCATATAAGAGAAATGTCAGTTTCACATTCACAACCTAAATTAACTATTTCTAAGCATCATGTAAATATTTAAGGTTCTTGGGATGTTCATTACATGATTACTTCAATTATTAAATGCTGAAATTCTTCTTGCACACTTGAATTTATACAAACCTTGCTTTGGGTTGCAATTGCACTTGTCTGTTCTGATCACTTAATACTTTCCAGTCACTAACCCCAGGCTTATTTTGACCAAGATATGGAAATGTTTGCAGAACCTCCACACACTATCTTGTCAGTGGTTCGATTATGTCATTAAAGATTGCTCTTGAAGCTCTTCTGAGTGCCTGTGCTGAAGAAGTTTGGACCTGACAGAACATGTTACAACTTTGGAGAGGAAATGTAACACAATTGACATGCCTTTTGTCTGGTTTTCTGGAGCAGCGTTACTCATTACCCTCGCATGGACTGTATGTCACCCACCTTCCCAGTCTCAGAGGCCAGGTCTACATCACAGACCTTTATTGATATAACTGCATCATGTGGGGGCATGAAAAATCCACACTTCTGAGTAATGTAGTTATGCTGACCCAACCCTAACGGCAGCATGTTGCCAGGAGAGCTTCCTCCATTGACATATCTACTGCCTCTCGCAGAGGCGGGATATCTACGCTAATGGGTGAATGCTCTCCCATCAGCAGAGGAACATCTTCACTGATATTCTGGAACAGCTTTCCAAGGAAAGTAGTCGTGGCAAAAAATTAACCAGTTTCAGGCATGAGACTGGTAGGTTTATAGAGGAGATGCATGAAGAGTTTCTGTCTTGGCATACAGCCCATCCGCTACTGGTATCCGTGTTTAAGTGTGGACTTGCCCTGAGGTAAAATACCATGTTTGCAATTGCATGTGGACTAAAGTGTGGGAAACCATGAGACACTTGCAAAGATTGAGGTAAGAAACAGGGATCCTGTCTGGACTGGCCTACAGGTTACAACCAGATGTCCCAAGTTGTGAGCCTAAAGAAAATACTGACTTGTCTGGACAGTTCTTTGCATCTGTCAGCCAGACACCATGTTTAATTTCATGCTGCTTTTCATCCAGCTTTGCTGGAAGAGCCTGTCATGAGTGAATGACAGAGCAGGCTACCTGACAGGCCACTCCTAGTAAATAACTGAGTCAGTTTCTAGGAAAAGTACTTTACTTTTCTTCAGGGAAAGGAACCTCCCAAAGCTAGACAGAACAGTTTGGAAATGGCTGAGGCTTACCGGTAAAGGTTAACCAGTGGGGGCTGGAGCAACCATTCCCTGTGGCAGGGGAGGCTGCTTCAGCCCAGTGGAGGACAGGGGTGTTGCCCCACCCTCCTCTCCTTAATTGATTAACCCGTTAAACTACATGTTTAATGGGTTAACCATTTAAATGGGATTTTACATCCCTAATTCACTAATACATTCTCTACCATTAATACTTTCTCTCATTTTGCTGTGAGCTTATATATTGTTTTCAGAATATATAATGTTTGTGAAGCACTATATTGGCAAAGGAAACAATGGCTTTAACTATTTATTTATGTAGCTGTATAATTAGTGAAAGCATTCAAATCAGGAAATTATGCACCAATTTATGTAAAGTTAATCTCATGAAAGCAAACAAATTACATTTAAAACAGGTCACATGCAAAATCTGAATGAAACCGAGAGCTAGCTAACTGAGGCAATCTTCATAGTTAAGGTATTAGTAATTGAAAATAGAATTTTTATGTGCACTGTATCATCTGCTTTCAAGAACAGCGTGGTGAGAAAGGTATAGCCTTGTTAAATATGAAGGCTGCGTTAAAAGTGGTCCATTTAATGTTTGTCGATTTTTTTTTTTTTTTTTAAATGGGAATTCCATCTAGTGTATCTTTTCTTCATCCCTATCATTCACTGTGTTCTAACAACGGGCTATAGTCAATGTGGTCTCTAGTAACATTCTTATATTTTTCAAACCATAAACTGATTTAGCTGTGCCAAAACACAGTACGAACGATCCACATTTCCCCTTTTTCTCTTTTCTGCAATGTGTATTGAGAAGCAATCCTATTGCAGGTTCATACTATTTTTCTGGCTCATCTTGATTCAGTCTCTTTTAACATTCGCTTAGTTATGTCAGTTTTGAGGTCTGTACTTGATTTGGTGATTCTGCTCTGTGAAGAAATCCAATTCCAGACACATTCCATTTTTGTGGCACAACCAACCTTTACACTGTTTTAAGTGATGATCAGAGGCAGCTGTATACCAAATGGGATGGTCCTAGTTCTTACCATTTAGGAGGAGTTCTTGATCGAACAGACAAAACTCTAAAACATCTAGTTGATTGAGCAAGTCACTTTATGTGTGGGTAATGACTGGAGATGGGGTTAATGGCCAATATATACGGAGAAAAGTTGGTGTCATCTTGAACAGAGGTTGGCAGCTGACTTAGGGAGGAATTATTAGAATCTTGTTTTATATGGGAGACTCCCAGGATTCTTCAGTTGCCTGTCCCAACACATGCCTTCTTTCTTCTCATCCAACATGTCCATCCTTAGGGGGAGGATTGGCTACAATGACATTCAATCAAATTGTCGTTACATAATTCACTTGGAAGAGACAACTGTGAAATGGATGTTGAAGAGGGAGGCAGCAGAGTGCTACAGGTCCTTCTGAGTTCTATATAGGGTTTGGACCAAGCTTAAAGCCATAGTAGCTGAGCATCTTCCACTAGTACATTAAGCATCTGTCATGTGTTCTCACTCTCTCCCCAGGTAAAACAAAAAACAGGCCTATGTAGCACTTTAAAGACTAACAAGATGGTTTATTAGGTGATGAGCTTTCATGGGCCAGACCCACTTCCTCAGATCAAATCTCCCCAGGTGGTGTGTGTGCAGTGGAGTGCCTTTTAATTTATATTAGAGAAGGTGAAGGGTGGGGGGAGTGTGTGCTGTGAATTTGGAGTGGAAGGTGGTGAGGTTTGTGATGGTCTTTAGTTTCTGGGGGAATTGATTCTACAGTTTTGGGTGGGCTTCAGAGAATTCTCTTGCACAAATGAGCTTTACCCTTAGGGTGTGTCTACACTGCAGGGCTTAACTCGAAATAAGCTACACAAATTGAGCTACATCAACTATGGATCTTATTTCGAAATAGGGAGCATCTACACAACACCTATTTTGAAATAGAGCACTCGTTCTCCGACTTCCCTTATTCTTCGTACAATGAGGGTTACAGGAGTTGGAGTAAGAAGTCCTCCAGCTTGACTATTTTGACACTATTTTGCAATAACTGCCTGCTGTGTAGACATGAACTAAGTTATTTCAGAATAGCGCTAGTTATTTTGAAATAGTGTTGCAGTGTGGACGTACCCTTATTGGGGAAAGTTCCATCGGGTCCAGAGGAGAGACGTTGTCAACCACATCTTCATCCTGGAACTGTAGTTGATCTTTTGCATGCCCTGGTGCCAGGCCATTGAACACCTTAAACACAAAAGCCAAGTCCTTGAATTTGGGCCATGTTTTGCGGGAAGCAGCATAATAAGGATCAACAGATCTGACCTGATTAGGTGCCAGTGATGCTGAGTTGTGCTGCAGCATTCTGTGTTAGATGAAGTTTTCCAGGAACTAAGGGCTTCGTGCATTCTGCAGCAGCTACCTAGTTTATCTTGTGCCCAGAAATTCCTATCCCTCTGTACGGAGTAAGTATGTTGGGATTTGCTTGGAATAGACTGGAATCTCTAAAAGATGAAAGCAATTGGTCAAATCATATTGAAGTTAAGGATATTCTACTGTGCAACTTCTTTGAAATGTAATTAGTAATTAACATTTAGCCTTCTACATTCAAAAAATAAACAAGCTTGACTAACGCTGTGATTTTACATCATGTGCCATTGAAAACTAAGCAATCTTTTACGAGAATTTAAAATTAGTCTAGTGCTATCGTGCTCATGGTATCCATGATATCTGAGTGCCTCACAATCTTTGGCTACGTCTAGACTGGCATGATTTTGCAGAAATACTTAACGGAAAAGTTTTCCTGTTAAAAGAATTTCCGCAAAAGAGCGTCTAGATTGGATGATTTTGCACAAGAAAGCCCCGATCGCCATTTTAGCCATCGGGGCTTTTTTGCACAAAACAGTTCTTCCCTGTCTACACAGGCCCTCTTGTGCAAGTATTCCCGAGTGGGAGCATGAAAGTATTTGAGCAAGAAGCACTGATTTTGTACATTACAAAGTCAGTGTTCTTGCGCAAATTCAAGCGGCCAGTGTAGACAGCTGGCAAGTTTTTGCGCAAAAGCAAATGCTTTTGCGCAAAATCTTGCCAGTCTAGATGCAACCTTTGTGTTTATCCTACCAGCACCCCATATAATGAACAGAAATAACCTCCACCTTGAATTTAAGTATACTAATGTGTAGGCTGGTGAATGTTTATTTCCATATTTATAAATGCTTTGTGACCAAATGAAGTCACACCAATGTTGTTCAGATAACTTCTGACACAGTAACTACAAACAACTGTACCTGTACCACTGCCAATACCCCATCGCACAGAGGCTGTGCCTAGGGAGCAGTAATCTGCCACAAAATTGAACATCTGGATTAGGTTTGTCTGCAACTAACATCTTTCTTTTCAATTTAGCGCACAGTTCTTGAGTTTATAAACATACTAAAAGATTTATCCAGTGTTGTTCGAGATCTTAACTTGATTAATGCTTTTTTTTTGGGGGGGGGGAATGTCCATGTTTCATTTAAATCATTGCTCTGGAGTGCAGCTGGGGCTGAGGGGTTCAGTATACAGGCTGGCCTGGAGAGAGAGGACAACCCCAACCCTCTCTCACCACAGCAGTTTGGGGCCAGGTCAGAAGCACTATGACCCGCTGCATCCCTAGGGGGCACAGATCAGGGGGTGCATATCCATCTGTGCGGCAGATCCAAGTTCATCTGTCCCCTGTGCTCCCCAGCCAGACAGAGGAATGTAGCAAACTGTGCACTGTCCCCTTGCTTCCTGCAAAGGGGAACAGCCAGCAATGTCCCTGTATTAATGGGGGGATTCTGCCAACCTGCCCTCCCTAAAGGACACCTCGACATGAGAGGCTTAGGGCTGGGGCAATCCTGGGTGGGGGACACCCCTGGCCAGCCCCTTTCACCTGCCTCGTGATTGTCTCTTCCGTATGGTTTTGTGAGAAGCAATCCCATCCCAGGTGCATCCCATTTTCCTGGCACCACCAAGCCCTGACCTTGCTTTAAGTTATGAGAAGAGGAAGCTGCGTACCGAATTTGGTGGGCCTAGCTCTTACCAATGAGGAGAAGTTCTTGGACAGACAGACCCACTCAACTATACACAGCTTACACTAAACCAAAAAGTCCCATCTGTAGCCACACGGTGGTGCTGGAAAGCTGCTTTCTGTGCCATTGTGTGGGAAGGGAGGTTTAACCCTGGAGGAAGCATGCATGGGAGCGTATCCCACAACCAGCATAACTACTTGAGGGTCGTGGCAGAGCGTAGTCGTGGGGTGTTGCTTTTAAATATTGTCGCTGAATTCCATGGGGGAGGAAAGCTCTAGACCCATTTGCCACAAACCGCCTTTTAGCTGGTCTCTCAGCCACATCTACCCCACAAAGTTTGGGTAGTGCAAACTGCCTGAGCATACAGCTGCTGGCTTGTGTGTCAGACTTGTGCACACCTGGGTGCTTGCACACACCACGGGTGCTTGCGTTGTAGCAGAATGCTGTGCGTCAGGGTTAGTTATTTCAGCTAACCATTGTCCCCGGTGCCATTGTCCGGCCTTGTGGGAGACCAGCAATTCACCGAGAATTGAGGGGTCACGTCACACACACCACTTTCCTCATCCTCTAATGCTTTCCACAGCCCATAATTCGTACAGCATTTTTTAAAACTCTCAGACCTGCTTGCTGCTTTTTGGTCTCCACCATTTCTCTGGGAGATGCATGGGCCGCGCAGAGATCAATGTGATTCTGATGGCCAGGGCTGATACAGGATGCACAATTCTCCTGTATTTGTGGGGCTTCAAGGAGTAATGCTACCACCAAGGTTTCAATGAAAAAGAAGCAAAGATATTCAAGGGCAGGAACTGGATGCCGAGGACACTGTGTGTTGCAGGGGTGGGGAGCCAGGTTGTGGCTCCACATGGTGGATTGCTGTGCCTGGACCCAAGAAATGGACTGATTGGTGAGATTGCATTGTAATGCAGGTTTGGGAGGTGAAAAGTTATGTTTGTGGATCTGCGGACTGAGTTGTTTGAGCTGATCAGTGCAGTGACAGCAAAATGAAAGCTGCGCTGACAGTGGAGACACAAGAAGCACCCCGGCTCTGGGAGCTCACGATGCCAAATTGTGATAGTGTTTCTCCAAGTGTTCTGCGGGCCCATGCTGCTTTGTTTACCTAAAGGCTGCGTCTAGACTGGCATGATTTTCCACAAATGCTTTTAACGGAAACGTTTTTCCGTTAAAAGCATTTGCAGAAAAGAGCGTCTAGATTGGCACAGACGCATTTGCGCAAAAGCACTTTTTGCGGAAAAGCGTCCGGGCCAATCTAGACGCGCTTTTGTGCAAGAAAGACCCAATCGCCATTTTCGCCATCGGGGCTTTTTTGTGCAAAACAGTTTTTAGCTGTCTACACTGCCCCTTTTTCCCGAACGGGAGCAGCATAGTATTTGCGCAAGAACACTGACAATCTTACATTAGATCGTCAGTGTTTTTGCGCAAATTCAAGCGGCCAAAGCAGACAGCTGGCAAGTTTTTCCGCAAAACTTGCCAGTCTAGACCCAGCCGTGGAGCTGCTACCACCTTTCCCGAAGTGAGCCTTTGGCACATTTTGAGAAACACTGCTTTAAAACAGAGAAAGCTATCCTGTGTGTTGTCTCTCCTCTCCCCCGCTCTCTAGAAATGTAACACTGCAAGTTGGGAGTCAATCATCCCTTAGAAGTGTTCTTGGGCACAGCCTAACAAGGGGCCAGCACGTGCCTACACACCATCCCTTATTAGAGTAAGGGATCATCCAAACAACATATTTGAAAATGCAGTGTGATGACTAATGCTTTGATAAAGATCTTGCTTTCCACAAAAGTAGTTTCTCTGTAGCAGCTCACTATGTAAGGGGTTGTACTCAGAAGGATCTTTGCTCTCTGGGAGCTCTGAAGTGCTGACAGAGCATAAATATAAGGGGAAATAGAGTATGTTGTCCTCCACTGACCTATTTTGGGTAAGGAGGCATCAACTCAAATGTGGAGCTCATGTGTCTCTTTCTTTCCGTAAATCAGGTTCTGTTGTTCAGGAAAAGGTGAAATGTATGAGTTGTCATAACATCACTCGAACTGCCTATTAGCTAACACTAATAACTGCCTAACCCTACATCAGGCATGTCCAAAGTCCGGCCCGCGGGCCAATTGCGGCCCGGGTTCCGGTTTAATACGGCCCCACAGGGAATTTGGCAATATCTATCTTTTATGGCCCCCAACAAATCCATATGTATTGAGATGAATACATTGTAAAATCTCAGTTAATGTCAGTTGGTCTAAATCAGTTATAAATATATTTGGACACAACATGTATACTTGGTGTTATGTTCCTGTTCATATTTTTTTAACTTAAAAGTTGACAGACAACCTTTATTACCAATAATATGTAATGTACTTTACAATGTTCCTGACATATATTTCAGCTTCCTGGATTTTTTTTTCATCTGGCCTTCAGATATGAAAGGCAGAGTGATTTAACACCTGTTTGGATTTGTCATCCATGTGACAAAATGAAAAGTATGCCGTTTGCAATAAACTTTGCATAAAATAGTTAATTTGCATTTAATTTTAATGGTTCAAAGAATGTCAGGCAAAATGGTCGGCCCTCGCGCATGTTCACTTCATCAAATCTGGCCCTCTTTGAAAAAAGTTTGGACACCCCTGCCCTACATGCTTTGTTAGTCTGTAAAGTCCTACCAGACCATTTGTTGTTTTTTTAGTTTATAATAGCTTTGTTTAGGGTTAGTTTCCTTAGCACTACTTTTATAGTAAAACTCAGCACTGGTAGATGGTTTTTAGAGCACTTTTAAAAGTATAGGTTGAATTTCTCTAATCCAGAACTCTTTCGTCCAGAAACATCCGTCCTCCAGACTGATTTTAGTGAGCCAGATGTTCACTTTTCAGGGGTGTGGCCAAGTTTCCTGCTGTCCCATAAAGTTTGTTTCCAGCCACCAGTCCTAGCTCTCAGTGTTCTGTGCTGTTATTTAGCTGGAATGCATCCCTGTTTTCTAACAGCGCAGTAAGGACTGGAGGTGTTGGCAATGCGGCTGGACAATATGGACCGGACAATATGGACCGCCCCTAGTCCCGAAAATTCTCTCCTTCGGAACCAGTCGGTCCCGAGGGTGCCGGATTGGAGCG